TAGAGAAATGCCAGGCCTGTTTACTCCTTCAAGGAACGTGTGTTCCGTGTGTATCGTATTCCTATAGTACATCCTAGCACAGGGCTGGGCACCCAGAAAACATCCTGAAAGGACACTGGATTAAATTGTATACAGTTGGCCCTCTGTATCCATGGTTTCTGCATCTGCGGATTCAACCAACCACGGATCCCAAATATTTGGGAAAAAATAAAAATAAAAAAACATAAAAACTAACGCTACAACAACAAAAAAATACAAATAAAAAAACCAATACAATTATTTATGTAGCATTTACATTGTATTAGGTATTATAAATAATCTAGAGATGATTTAAAGTATATGGATGTACGTAGGTTATATGCAAATACTATGCCATTTTATATCACGGACTTGAGTATCCATGGATATTGGTATCCATCAGAGGACCTGGAACCAATCCCCCCACGGGATGCTGAGGGATGACTGTATACCTCTAACTGCCACATCTGGTACTAGCCAAGAGGCCCTTCTTGGTCTGGGGAGATACTGTCCTGGGCCTCTCATCTACCTCCTGGCTCTTACTTGGTCAGCGATGACTATCCGGTGCTGATACATTCCAGGGTTAAGCTGCCAACGACAGAATTGGCCTCTCCAGCCACGGGTGATAGTGCCTCCCCCAATGCCACCCAAGGGACAACCTAGAGAGAGAATCAGGATGGTTAGTGGTGTATAGGGAGGTGAAAACAAGTCCATTTTTCACTTTGTAGACTGTAAATATTGGTCCTTCTAAAACCTAAGGGATGGAGCAGTGCTATTTGCATAAGCTAGAAGCCTCTTTGCCTAATTCTGGGATAGACCAAGAGGCTCGGCCCCCTGTGAGCAGGGCAGAGCTGGGGTAAGGCTCACCGTAGATCTGTCTCAAGGGTACAGAATTGATCATGTCAATGAAAGGTGTCTTCTTTTCCACCTGGGTCTTCTGGTACCACCACTGTAAGTACCTGAGGAGCAAGCAGCAGTGTTAGTGGAAGGGGGCAGTCGGCAGTTCCTCATAAGCTGTAGTCACCTACCTCTCTCTGGACACCCAGCTATGACCTCCCATTAATGTCCCAAGGACTCATCATCTTTGCTTCCAAACCTCTTCTCCTGTTGATTTCTCTACAATTCAGGGTCCCTTCATCTTTCCAGTTACCTCAGCTCAAGTGTAGGACTGCCTTTGTTTCTCTTCTTTGTTCTTCTCAGAAGGGGCTTTCTGAACTTTCCTTACATCTGTAACTCTACTACCATTGCTTTAGTTTAAACTTCAGGAGCTTTTATCTGAGTTGTTGAAAGGGCTGTTACGGTTTCCTGGCCCACATTCTCCACCCTACTTCCCTATGCCCCAAACAGGCATAGGCTGCTAGGGATAACTTTCTTCTCTTTAAAATTATTATTTTCCTTCCTGGTTATGAAAGGTGAAAATTTGGAGAATACACCAGGTAGAAGGGGGAAAAAATCATCCCACCCATAGACAACCAATGTTTACATTTCAGGGCATTTTCTCTTAAGTCTTTTTTTTTTTTAGGTTCAGCATTTAAACTGTAAGCTTTCTGATCTTGCTCTTTGATAATATCCCGGTAAAGCATTCTAAAAATCCCAACATTTTCCTGATTTTGCCACAGCCATGTATCCAATAGGCAAATGATTGGGGCTATATTCAATAGACAAATGATTCTGTTTTCAAGGCTCTGACGTCTTCCTAAACCTACCTTTTAATCTTATTTTCTACAAACTCTCATTCAGGATGGGTCCTCACTAACCAACCCCTGCCCTGCCAAATTCTTTCCCACTTCCACTTTCCTCTCTACCCAACCATTGTATACCCATTGTTCAGTTATACCACTTCTAACCAAGTAATTGGGTAAATAAGCCCTTGAGCCTCAGTTTCCTCATCTGCAAAAATGGGGATACCTCCTGTCCTAGGTATCTCATAGAATGGTTGAAAGATCAAATGACATAATAGATAAGAAAGCCATAAAGTTTCTACTTTATCTGTGAACTATCTGTGTTAAATATGATGATTACTTGTATATATACTATCTCAATTCCTAATCAGACACTACCTTGTTATTTCAATGTTCCTCATGTGAGTCTAACATATTTTTAAGTTCCTTGGGGAAAGCGACAGTGACAAAGAGTAGTTGAATGTTACCCTCAGCTTCAAGCACTGGGCAGGGCACATGGTCTGCAGTCAAATATTTGCTAAATTTACAAATGAACGAATGTACAAACAATGGGGCATAAGAGAGATGGAAGACAGACTGGAGAAAGAAGAGGAGAAATGAGATTAAAGAATAGGGACAATACATTCTGGGGGTAGGGGAAGAGGGAGGGAAGACAAAAGATGAGATGATGGGAAGGCAGAAGATTTTTTCTGCCAGTTTAGAGAAAACTGGACTTTGAAACTAGAGGCCAGAAAAGATTGGTGGAGGGAGAGAGTGCAGCAGGGATTAGGGCAGCCAGAGAGAAATGCAAGATATGACAATAGGCAGAACAAAGGACTATCTGGCATAGAACTAGCACTCAATAAATATTTATTGACTGGACAGACTCTGGCTGGAGGGAGAGCAATCGAAACTGAATTCTTGCCAAGCTGAGACCCAGAGAACTTTATCTTGCTGAAGCTCCTGCTCAGAGTGTCCCCAGGTCAGCTCTCTTAGGAGTGCTCTCTCTCCCTTAATTTAACAGCTGTCCATTCCCGACCTATTTGGCCTTCTCCATAATTTCAACCCCAATTCAATAATTATCATTCAGAATTCTAACTTGTCTCACCTCTGCTTTCTCAGTGCAGGACCTCATCCCATTCCAAAACATGCCTATGTGTTCTTGACCTTATTGTCCCCACCACATACAACCCACTGTGCTTCTCTGGGTAACCTAGATCCTATTTTGACTCAAAGGTTTTTGAGGTCAAAGTTGGACTGGGTCAGTTTCAGAAGCAGCCTGGAGGGATGATTTTTCTCTGATACAGGCCACCCACAGGCACTAACAAAGGAGCCAGATGTCCAGGAAGTACCAGGCCCTTCCCACTGCCCGGGGCTGGGGTTCGGTAAATAGTCTCCCCACCATAGCCCCACAGCATTGACTGGGGAAATGAAGGGTCCTCTACTTTAGAAGCTGTCAGGGCTGGGTTTCCCAACCTTTAGGCCTCCCTTCCCAGCTCAGTGTTTACTGTGTGGACTGACTCAGGATGACCTCAGGGTGATGCTTTCTGTTCTTACATCCACCTGTTGCTGTTAATAGGTCTGGCTCCTCATCACTAGCTTTTGAACTCAGTGGGGATCTAGAGGGGTTCTACAGCCCAGGATAAACTCTGGGGGTGTCTGTAGCCTTTGGGGTCGGGGAGAAACCAGGGCAGGCTCTGGAAGGCTATTACCAAGAGGTCTGGGTAAATATATGGCAGTGCCTCTCTGGTCAGAGGCATTCACTTTTTATATCAGAAGCTGTCTATCCCAGAATAGAGTGAACAGCACCTCTTATCACCCTCTTCTTAGAGTTGAGAGCAGACAAGCCCTCACCTACTCCCTGGAGCTAAAGCTTGAGGGAAGAAACAGATGAGTGTTGGGTGTAACACGTTGTGCCTAAATGAGGTACAGAGAATGCTCCAGCTGCTCAGGTGAATCTGTGGTTGAGGACTTCCTCCTCCCAAATTAAACAGTGTGTATCACAGCAGCCAGGCTATCCTTTCCTACCTTGCCGCAAAGTATAGCTAATCCCAAAGGGAAGTCTTTGGAAAAGGGGAGTATGTGAGAAGGAACCTAAATGGGAAAGGGGGACTGCAGGACCAAGTATTCCTACCCTTTCCTGCTGAAAGGTCAAGATACTGGGAGGAAGGGGGTTGCAAAGAGATGCGACCTGGTCTCACCATGGGCCAAAATATGCTGGGTATAGGGGCCACTTGACCGGGAAAAAGAGTCCACCTGCCTTCTCACCCTTCACCACCTCTGCTGGAAGTCTTCAGCTGGAACAAAGCGAAGCTGAAGGCATTCTTGGCAATGGCATCTACTCACCTCAAGCCCATGCCCAAATGCTTTATCAGGTTGCTCAGGGAGATGTTGTTAGCCCGAAAGGGTTTCCTCTTCTCTGAAAACTCATGAGCCAGGCAAATGCGCCAGCCAAAGGGAGGCACCTGGTAGCCCCTAGCATTACCCTCATAGGAAGCCATCAGCTGCCCAGAGTCCTCCGGATTGCAGTAGCCCGGCTTATTTGGGGGTCGACTGTCCTCATCAGGGCTCTGGCTGTCTGTGACCTGCACAGCCTCAGTGCCTCCAGTATCTTCAGAGCAATCAACCTGTGGATTCCCTCTGGCACAGCTTATCTGCTCCGAGGATGGGACGCCGGTTCCCGTGTTCCCTGGATTCTGGGTCTCCACGACCTCCATGGCTCCAGATCCCGAGCCTTTTGATATAAAGTATCTCGCTAGCCAAGTCCAGACGCGGGCGCTGGTTGTTGTTAGGTGCCGTCCCGGAGGGCCGGACACTGGGGAAAGCTGACGTGAGCTGGTATCTCTGTGAAGCCGGGGAGCTCTTGCTGCAGCGGCGGCGGCGACAGCAATGCAGCCGCTTCGGGTCCCTCTTCAGTCGTCTCTCTAGGTTCTGGGCGGGAAGGATCGGGCCTCGTCGTCATTGGGCCGCGGTGACTAGCTCGCCCGGCCAAAGGGCGACTGGGCCCGCGGAGAGGGGAGGAGCCCGCGGGGCCAGCCCGCAAGGCACCGCCCCCGGGACCTGCCCGGGAGCTCGCGGCGGCCTTGGCCCCGTCCCCGAGCCGTGGCACCGGCCCCCCCAGGGTTGGGCGCCAGGTCCCGCCGGCCGCTGTCGGGGGCAGTGGCCACGCCCAGATGCCAGCCTTGGGAAGGTGACCCAAGGCGCCGGGATGACCCGAGCCCCTTCCGGTCTGGCCAGCCGGCGCTTCCGGCCGGAAGGGGCTCCGTGGGAAGTGGGGGGACTGAAGGGAAGTCCCGCCTCTGCCGCGCCGCTTACGCCGCCGAGCATCTGTCCGCGTCCCGGAGGGGCGGGCGGGTGAGGGCGTTCGTGCGCCGAGACCCCCAGTTTCGACCGTGCGAGGTGACGGGCGGCCGTGCTCTTGGGCTGGGACGTGGAACCTTGAGGGAAGCGGGGCGGAGGCCAACCTGGGAGTTCTGAGGCTACCGGGAATAACCCGCCGCTGAGGGGGCGGAGGGCTGGGGCCCGGAGCGACGCCCTCCCGTCTGCTTGCCCGTTCCCCGAATCCGGGCGCTTCCCTCTGGCATCTCAGTCCTCACCCCTAGTGCTCGCCTCAGACACCCCTCCCTGCCCTGGTGCTGACCTCCGACCTCCCTTTTTCCTTCCAGGTCTGACTCGGAGCTGCCATGATTGAAGTAGTGGCAGAGCTGAGCCGGGGGCCCGTATTTCTGGCGGGAGAGGCGCTGGAGTGTGTGGTGACCGTCACCAACCCCCTGCCCCCCACGGCTACTTCTGCATCCAGGTGGGGATGTTGGTACTGAAGGTGGTGGCCCTTTCTGGGAGGAAGCCTGATACCTCTGGTGCTAAGCCAGAGCTCAGGTTGTCCTATAGCTACACCACCACCTTCTTGCTCATTGTGCTTTAATTGTAGGAAAGGGCGGTTAACAAAAGATGTGGATAACATAGCCCTCCACTCCTTTCCTCCCCCTCCCCCAGTCCCATTTTTACCCACAGTATACTTCTCTTTGTTTAATGGTTTCTCTTTGGGGTTCTGGATTTCCTGGTCACTAGGATAGTCACCTAACCTTGATGGTCTTGTCAGACAGTGTGGTAGAGAGTTTGGAAAAGCATTTGTGAGGTCAGGAACTATCCTCTGATGCCTCCTTTTCCTCTTCCCACAGTGAGGCTCTGGCTTGGGCCAGTGCCCAAATCCACTGCCAGTTCCATGCCAGTGAGAGTCGAGTAGCCTTGCCTCCCCCTGACTCTAGTCAGCCAGATGTCCAGCCTGACAGCCAGACTGTCTTTCTGCCCCACCGAGGTTAGAAATGGAGCATTTGCCTTGGGAGGAGGGTGGAGTCATTGTCACCCAAAGGTGAAGTTGTTAAATTGTTCTTGTGCATCATTGTCATTCCTGTCACATTGGGGATGTGGGGGAAGGTAACTGTTGCTTTGCGGTGTTTCTGTTCACAGTAGAAAAAGGGGTTGGCAGCTTTTCATTGCTGCCACTTGCTGTGCTAGTCTTATCCAGTATTGGACAACAGGATCACTAAGTTGCAGTCTTTCTTAACTTTTTTAGGTGAGAGGGGTCAGTGTATTCTTTCCACTCCACCAAAAATTCTATTCTGTGACCTGAGGCTAGACCCTGGAGAATCTAAATCATGTGAGTGACTGTCCCCATCCCTGAATTGCTTTCTATGTCTCCTGGAGGGAGGACTCCTCTCGTTGCCTCTGGCTGCTCTGACTACTACTTCCCAACCAGACTCCTACAGTGAAGTGCTGCCCATAGAGGGACCACCCTCCTTTCGGGGTCAGTCAGTCAAGTACGTCTACAAACTGACCATTGGCTGCCAGCGTGTCAACTCACCCATCACTTTACTCAGGGTCCCTTTAAGGGTTCTTGTACTGACTGGTAAGTAAGGGTTCCTGGAGGGAAAGGCTGGGGAAGAGCCTTGCCAAAACAGAAACAGTCATAGAGGGCTTGTAAGATGGGCTGCAGGGAAGCTTCTGGTCTTAGTGAAGGTTCTAGGAAGTTGGGGAGGAGGGAGGGAGGGTTCTGGAAGTAGGAGCTGTGACTCCCCTTACTTTCAGCCTTCTCAGGTTGGAGTCTAAAACCCTAACCTTTACTCTCATCTCTGTTTCCTCCCAGCATTACTTCTCCACTCATTCTCTCTTTAGGCCTTCAGGATGTCCGGTTTCCCCAGGATGAGGCTGTAGCCCCATCCAGCCCATTCTTGGAGGAGGATGAAGGTGGAAAGAAGGATTCATGGCTAGCTGAGCTGGCTGGGGAGCGTCTCATGGCTGCTACATCCTGCCGCAGCCTCCGTGAGAATCCTTTCAGAATTTCCCCACCCCATCTTTCCTCTCATAGTATTCCTGTCTCAGAGACAGAGTCTCCTAAGTGCCACATACTTCTGTGGATCCACCGATATCTCACCCCTGATTATAAAGAAAAGGCACACCTTTTGGCTTCTGGTGTCCTGTCTTAGACATTCCCCAGTGTAGTTTCCAGGTTTACATTGTCTTATTCTCCTCAGATCTGTACAATATCAGTGATGGCCGAGGGAAAGTTGGAACATTTGGTATCTTCAAATCCGTGTACAGACTTGGCGAGGATGTGGTGGGGACCTTAAACTTAGGGGAAGGAACCGTAGCTTGTTTGCAGGTGAGAGGGGAGCAGAGCTTCTGGGGTACTTGGCCTGAAAGGCTAGGGTGGAAGAAAGGCCTGTATAAAGAGGGGTGGTATGTAGAAGTGGATAGTGTGGTCACCCAGGGTCCCTTTGGTAAAGCAGCTTGAAGTTGGGCTACCCTTTGAGCTGCAGTCAGCACTTCTAAAAGCCTGCTAGTACATACCTCTTCTTGTTCCCAGTTTTCGGTAAGCTTACAGACTGAGGAACGTGTACAGCCTGAGTACCAGCGGCGCCGTGGGGCAGGAGGTGTCCCCTCTGTGTCTCATGTGACCCACGCCCGGCACCAGGAGTCCTGCCTACATACAACCAGAACCAGCTTCTCCCTCCCCATCCCTCTCAGCTCCACCCCAGGCTTCTGCACAGCTATTGGTGAGACCCTGACCATTATTGGAGGAGGCAGGGGGGAGGGCAGTAAAATGCTGTATTTAAGTAGAATGTAACGGATCCTGATTCCTAACACACTCCTGGACATACCCATGTCTAGCCTCTGACCCTTAACACTTTCTTAGACCTTCAACCTTTGTCCCTGTTTCTTAGATGCACTGACACCTAACTCAAGAGCTTTGCAGAACTCCTACCTACTAGGACTCTGTGATGCACTGCTCTCCGATTCCCCAGCACCTTTACTTGAAGCTACCTAGTCTTGACTATCTTGGGTTATTAGGTATTTGACACTGCTACCCTCAACTCACATCTTTAGCTAACACACTAGATTTCTTCAGAAAAACCCTTGATCGTTGCTCCCTGCCCGTGACTTCTCCCTCTCTTCCTGAATACAGGTGTTTTTTTTTTTTTTTCCTCATTCACAAACCACATCCTGTCATTTACTGGCTTTTATTCCTGTTGGCTTCTAATGCCTCTACCTTTATCTTTTTCTTCAAGTGTCCCTGAAGTGGCGACTCCATTTTGAATTTGTAACATCTCGAGAACCAGGATTGTTACTCCTACCCCCTGTGGAGCAGCCTGAACCTGCCACTTGGACAGGTCCTGAGCAAGTGCCTGTAGACACCTTCAGCTGGGACCTCCCCATCAAGGTGCTGCCTACAAGCCCCACCCTGGCCTCATATGCTGCCCCAGGCCCCAGCACCAGTACCATAACCATCTGAAACTGGCCCACTTGCCCACCATTGGCACTAGTTTCTTCATGATGCTGAGAGCTCAGCACTTGGACTCTAGTAGGGCCCACTTTTTCCATATGGGGCCCAGTGGCATGGACAATGAGAGGCAGGCTTTCAGCTGTAGCATTAATTTATTTATTCAGAATAAATTGGCAGCTGCTAGTGGTTTCCCTGGAAGTGGCAGCAGCAGTGAGCAGTCAGCAGATGGGTGATCAGCTGAGTTTAGCTTGAGTGGGGAGCAGGGGCCCCAGGAACAGGGGTGATAGCTGAGCCCCACTCTGGGTCAGGCCCTCCGCCTTTGCAGGGCAGCCGAGGGTCAGATTTTTGCACCAAGGAGAATTGGCAGGTTCCTGCTTCCAGACGTACCTCACACCCAGCAGGGAAGTCGATGGGATGCTGGGACCTAGGGAACCAAGAATGGGGAAGGAGTCAGCACAGTGAAAGGATACCTTTATCCCTGCTGCCCATTCCCTCTCTCATAGCCTTCCCCCTATATACTCTTTTAATGTCCCCTTGGTCCCCCTAATTAAGCTCTTATCAACCATATAGGGACTTTTTGTTATACAGCAAGAATATTCTCCCCCTAGATCCACGCTGACCTCCCTTACTTTGTAGTCTGAAACCTTATCTTTCACACTCTTGTTGGTACTTCAGGTTTGGTCAGTCTCATACTGCTCTTCTGTTCATTCTCATGTCACAGCAATCTAGTCACTCCATGGCAAACCCTCAGTCACTCAGAGTCATTCCCTCTGGCCATCCTTGGTCACTCACGTGTCACAGCAGCCCACACCAACGGGATGCAGACAGGTGCAATGGAAACAGTCCTTGCGGAGCCAGGATTCACCGAGGGTAAAATATTTTCCCTCATAGTGACAGGGGGCTAGGGAAGAATGGGAAATGTTAGTGGGTGTGGGAATAATGGTGACAGTTTCTTCTGGTCTGGGGTAGGAGAGAGAAAGTGCACACTACCCCATAGTTAGTCTTTCCTTTTTCATGGCTGGAAGGAATCTGGGTATTCAGACACAGGGTCATCTCTAAGCCCCCCTCCTCCCAACTCCCTCTGCTCTTCATCCTTCCCTAATGCCACACCCCACTTTACCTTGAGCTTGGAAGTAGCACTTGCTGTGGACTCCTGGATGCTGGAGGAATAGAGACATCACCAAACAGATGATCCCCCAGCCTCCCAGGATCCCTTTGGCCTGTCTAGCCCAGAGCATCCTTAGGGCCATTCCTGCAGCACAGCCCTCTCCGACCCGGCTTGGCTTCTGTTCGGGCTACTCTGGTCTCGACTCCTTGGCTTCTCTTTGCTTTGCTCCTTGAGTCTTAGTTTGTCTCTTTCTCCCTTGGGCTCCTGTCTCACACCATCTCCGTGCCCTCTGCTCTCACAGGCTGGGGATGTTTATAAAGTGAGGACCCTGGCCTCCTGCTGAGTAGAGCTGGAAAAGCTGTAACTCTGTTTCCTGAGGTGAGGGCATGAAAACAAGAGGTCTAGCTTTAACAAGCTGTGAGAGCTGATTCATGCCCCGGTACAGCTAGAGGGAGGGAGGTGGACATGGAAGGGGCACTGCACTGGGCATTTCCCCAGCAAGGAGGTGGGAGGGGTGAGGGCCCCAGGTAGTCTCCAGATCTCTTCCCTGACCTGAAGAGAAGGAAGCATTCCGCCATCCGCCCCCCCCACCCCCCAGCAGGGGTGTGTATGCTGGGATCCCTGCCTGAACCGGAGGGAGGCATTTCCTGGGGATGGCTAATCCTGTGACCCAGCCAAACCGAGGAGCTGCAGTAGGGTGCGACAGCCAGAGGCTCCAGGAGGGCAGGCAGGCACCTGGAGTGGAGAATGTGTTTCCCTTAGACCCCGGAGCAGGGTTTCATTGATGTATCTAAGAAACAGGGCTGCTCCTCAGAGATGGGGGAGAGGGCTTTCTCTTTTCCTCAGGCATCCCAGAGATGTTTAACTCCCTCAAACATAACAGCAGGCACAGGATCGCCCCATACCGGGGGATGGTTCTTACCTCCTTTCACAGAGGAGCATCTCCTCTAAATGCCCTAATGGAATGAATCACTCCAATTTCACAGAGGTACCCCTTCTTTCCTCCTATACCTGATGGAATGAGGCTTTAGGAATTTATCCTTCGGCATCCTCCTCTGAGTTTCCCGCAGGTTCTGGAGGACCCCAGCACAGGTGATTAAGAGCATTGGCTGTAGAGACAGACTACTTGGATTCAGATCCTGACTCTAACTTACTAGCTGTGTGACCTTTGGCAAATTACTTCACCTCTCTAAGCCTGTTTCCTCATCTATAAAGGATATAGTAGTGCCAACTCACAAGGTTGTTATGAGGATTAAATGAGATAATGCATGTAATGCTCTTAGCACTGTCTCTGGCACATAGGCTTCAGGAAATATTAGCTACAGTGATTGGTGCTAAAGCTCAGAGATAGAATGGGTGACATCTTTCCTTTGAATGACTGAGCAGCTCTGTGTGCACAGCTGAGAGCTTCTGTTGGGGACTGCTCTCTCCTGGCATAGACTTCTGCCCCTTTCACACTCATGCTCTGTCATCCCTACCAGTATTCTTCAAAAACAGATATGTCCAGGAGCATTTTGGTTTCAATCCTTGTACTGAATTCCGAATGTCTGGTTTGATTCTGAACAGTGTAGCTGATAAACCTGCTTTCCCCAGATCAGTACCATCACCGCTACCCTGGGAAGAGGTGTTTTCTTATCATCCTTACAGCTAACTTTATGACTCCTGCTTTTTCTCATTAGGATTCTGATCCATTTCTTCCCATCCTCATTTATGTGAACTCTCAAGTTCTCCTTTCTGACTACTCTGCAGCCATCTTTTTGGTACTAAGGGCCCTGGTCAAACTGGATTTCTTTTGTTTTTCCACACTTCAAAGACCCATGTTCCAGATATTCCCCTCCTACCCACAGGGCCAATCACTTTGGAATTTATTCTGGTTTTCCTTCTAAGTCTCCAGTCCCATTTACTCCAAGGCTCACTCCCTGTCATCTAGCGCATCAGATACAACTACTTCTGGCAGACTTTTTCAGAGGGCCACCCTGCCTGTTACCTCTTCACCATTCAGAAATGACTTAGAGAACCTCAAACTTCCTAGCTGTCCTCTTCCAAGAAGACAGCTTAGGTGGATTGAGATGCAGAATGTATACCACACGTTTGCCCTAGTAAGGTCTAACACACTTCCCACTTCAGAGGAGTTCCAAGAAAAAAAAAAAGGAAAACTCGGTTGAAGCCTACCCTGAGGTAGACTGGTGTGTGGGAGGCCTGGCCTTGGACTGCTCTATTGGTTGGAGCAGGTGTGTTAGGAGGCCTGTCTCGCACAAAGGCCCAGAAGTCTTGTGAGTGGTCAGTGGGTAGCTCTGCTGCTGCCTTTCTGGGGGAGGGAAGTGGTCAGTGAGCAGTTCTGCTGCTGCTCCCTGGAAGTCTGGGCCTTAAGACTACCTTCTGCCCCTGCGACCTGCACCCGTCCCGTCAGGGGGCCGACGTGAGTGGGGAGCGAGAGCCTGATGGTGGTGGTGCTGGAGGTGAAAGGGCCCGGCGGGGATTGGTGTGTGTGGGGTGATAGGGACGGGAGGGGTAAGGGTTAGCCGCCTGTAATGAAGATGAGGTAGGCATACAGACGAGGGGCGGGATTGGGGGGCTTCTGGAAAGAGAGGCCCGGCTGAGCCAGGATTCCTCTGCCCGAAGTTGGGGGGCGGCGTGGAGATGTTGGTCGAACCTGCATGCGTGTCTGCTGGCGTGCGCGCTTTGTGTGTGTGTGTGCGCGCGTGTGCATGCAGTGTTAGGTCTCAGCCCTCTGAGTCCTGGGGGAGCGGCGGTTTGGGGCGCCAGCTGCAGGGGGCGCGGCGGTTGGCCTGTGCCGCCTGCGCGGGGACCAGGAAAACATCCGCCGGAGGCTCGGCCGGGCGGCGCTCCAGCAGCGCTCGGGCAGGTGCGCCGGGTGAGGAAGTGAGCGCATTCCGGCCCCCCGGCCGGCCAGCCCTGCGGTGAGTCACCGCCGACCCTGGCCCGCCCGCCTGTCCGCTGCGCAGCCAGGAGCAAGAGAAGAGCGGCCTTGGTGGGTCGCGGCACGGGGACACTTGGGGGGGCGGAGCTCGGCGAAGGGCGGGGAAGAGCCCGGGAGAGCTTATGGGTGGAGGAGTCTCTGAGGGGGCTTCTGTCTTGGGGTCGCCATGGGCGGGAAACGCAAAACAGACGCTGAATACATAAGTGTGTGACTGAATGGAGGCAGGTGGGGAGGCCCAGAAGGGGAAGGGAAGTTCTGTTGATTGGCGTAACAAAGGAAGGAAGTGCACCAAATTAGGCCTTGGAGAAGCTGGAGACTAGATGGAAGGAGCGAGATCCACATCAGGTGGGAAGGTGGAAATGGCCAAACTACACTGTCCAGAGGCCCGTGTAGGCAGTGAAGGGAAGATTTTAGGGAGTAACAGAAGTTAGAGTCATTGTACAGTTGTGGCTAGGTCATCAAAGGCTTTGCCATGGTGAGGAATTCATATTAGGTAGAATGGAACCAACGTTGGTCGCTGAGCAGGAGTAGAGAGTGGCTTAAAAGCAAGGTTATCTGTGTCTAGCATTACTGTCTGCCATTCAGTCTTTGCCAAAAAATTAGGCACTGATCTAATTTTTATAGTCATTTAAAATTGCATGACTTCATCTGCCAAATTATTTAAGTAATTTTTTTGAATTTTTAAAAATAAAATTTAAAATAAAAGTAGCAAAGTTGAAAAATCTGATTCAATGTTTGATTTAAAACCCAAACAAAGTGAGGCTATCAAGATGAGTTATATGGTGTTGACTCTTTTCCTTTGTCTTGCTTTTGTGCCATTTTTCCCCTCACTAAGTTGACTGAATTCTGTATCAATGCCTCACTTCTTCTATATCAGTAGCATAGCACTTCTACTTTTCCTCTTCCTCCTCTTGTCTTTATTTTTAACCTTAACTTTTTTCGTCATAGCCCTTCAATCTTCCCTATGTATTCTGAACCAAGTGAAACATTTCTTGGGATGGGAACATTGGGTAACAGTATACAAAGACAAGCGAAACAATTTTACCATATATGCAAGGTTACTTACTATCTTTTGCGGATGTATATGTAACTATGCAGTTTCTATGTTTACCCTGTAGCTGATAGAGAAAGCTAAAGCTGTTTAATTCACAGTAGTATTTCTACAACATAGCAACTTATTAGTCTGATTTGTGTTCTAAAATCATCTCTAAAGTGGTATTTGGTATTTGTCTCAGAGACTGACAATAATTCTGTCACAATCCTTATGATTTGTGTTATTGGGCCAAAGACAAATTGCAAGGATTGGGATCTTTCCAATTTATTTTAAAGATCCTTAAACCCTGCCATTGACTTTGGTCCCAAACAAAAAGATTTTGGTTAGTTAATGAAAAAAAGAAAATAATTTTCTACTTTGAGCCCTGTTGCTTTCTCCTGCGCTGTTTTAGCCCCAGCCCTACCTTATTCCCAATGGTCTTTGCCTTCGTTCATTTTTTGCTCTGCTGGGCATCTTTAGAGGAAAACTTCACAGCAACTTCCTCTACTATAAATTCTCCCCTCCCCTCAACTCTACACTTCTGTTTGCCAACATACACCACTACTTCTTCACTGATTTCTTTCTTTATTTATTTTTTAAAGCCCACAGCCCTTTCTGGCTCTTTTCCATCTTTAACACTCTCTTGTTGAAATCCTCTATTTTTCCTCCCTTCTCTTTGGTACAACTTCAGATTTTTTTCAGGGCTAGTCTTTGGTAATTTATTCTGCGTGGTCCACTTCTGCCTTTCTTCCTCTTCTATCACCATTTTCTTATTCTAGACTGTTTCTAAACTCCATTATGTTTGCTTTTACCAAAGCTTTGAACTTTTCCTGTGATTAAACATTCTTCCTCTAGATATAGTAAAAGATACTTATGTTTTCATTATTTTTCCTATAAGAAAAAAAGTTCTGAAATTCACATCTACTTCAGTCTCTTCCCCCAAGTTTATGCATCCAGACACATGGCATGGCCATTATGATAAAGTCCATCGAGGCACCATTTAAGCTTGGCATTGTGGTAGGCACCATATAGTAAATTTCATAATCCTGGTGCCAGGTTCCTAAATGCTTATAGACAATAGATGCTATCACATGTGTGTGCATGAATGTTGTCATGTATACACACACACACACGCTAAAGTGCACAGATAATAGAACCATGAGCCAATATATGAATAAGTACATATATTTAGTATATTAAGTGTAATCGAGGCAAATATATTTTGGGGTGGGGGAAGATGAGGGTGGGTAAATTCATAGCTAGTATAGAAGTTTAACAGACAGTATTCTTTGGCATGCTGTATTCAGACTGGAGAATGATAAGAAAGTCATTGCTATGAAGATCAAGAGACCTCATGAAGCAGGCTTAATTTCCGGAGCTGAGAAAGATAACTTATAAGGCTGTGGAGAATGGCAGGAGGATAGAGGGCCAGAGTTCCAAGAACCTACAATTGCTATACTCAAACAGCCCAACATTCTGTCAAAGATTATAAAAGATTCTTTGGTTGTGATTGTGATTTCAACTATAGTCAATTTTCCATTAATAACCCATACTGAAGTTTTCCAACCCTGTCTCTGCATCTTTGGAAACATTCTTATTAAATTTTTCTTTATTATTTTTTTCTGCTTACAAATTAGTACATTCATGATAGCCCCCACCACCAATAATTAATCCCCAGCTAACCACCATTAGTTTTCACTAAATTTCCTGTCTTTATATTCTTGCGTTTATCTCATTTGTAAATTGTTCCTATCCTAAAATTATGGACTTAAAGGTATCTAGTTTTTTTAATCAAGTAGCTTTTTGCTGGACTGTCTGTATTGAATGGGATACTTTTTCTTGAAGTGGAGGCTGCCTATTCTGTTATCTAGCTGTAGTTACTAGAGAGTTGGTAAACTGAAATCTGTCTTGCTAATCTACTCCATTTTTTGCTTATTTTTGCTCTTTGAAACAATATAGAAGAAATCTTTTTCAATGTGGCAGCTCTTTAAAGATTTGAAAAGGGTTTGTTTTTTGTAAGCTAGTCATCTAAGCTTTCTCTTTACTTCAACACTGTCCAGTAGTCCAACATTTTCATTGCAATGATGAAAATGTTCTCTACTTGTGTCATTAGCCACATGTGGCTACTGAGCACTTGGAACACAGTTAGTGACATTGAGGAATTGAATTTTAAGTTGTGTTTAATTTGAGTTAATTAATTAATTAATTATTTATTTTCCTTTTTGTCTTTTTTACTGACCGGTAACGGGATCGCAACCCTCGGTGTTGCGCCCGCACCTTGCTCAGCCAGTGAGCGGGAACCGGTCTCCCATGGGATCTGAACCCTCGGAGGGAGGGCCGCCGCGCTCCTAAACGGAGCACTCTCCAGTGCGCCACCAGGCCGGCCCTAATTTGAGTTAATTTAAATTTAAATATCCAGATGAGGCAAATGGCCGCTCCTAAACGGCGCACTCTCCAGTGTGCCACCAGGCCGGCCCTAATTTGAGTTAATTTAAATTTAAATATCCAGATGAGGCAAATGGCTGTTGTGTTAGACAGTAGAGCTCTAAACTCTGGGATTTAGTACCTTGTCACATGGCTCTTGGTGGCTTCAGAAATGTTATCAAACATGGCAAAAACATGTGTAATTGTGCTCTTGGATCTGTCTGGAGGCAGTCTGACATGTCATAACTCTTGTCACATGGCTCTTGGTGGCTTCAGAAATGTTATCAAACGTGGCAAAAACATGTGTAATTGTGCTCTTGGATCTGTCTGGAGGCAGTCTGACATGTCATAACTGAGAAAAAGTTCAACCCAACCCTCAAAGTCCTGGTGAGTAATATCAGTTTTTTTGAAGGTTTCTTAGAGGGGATAGAAGATGAGGATTATGTCTCACATCCCATATCCCTAAAGCGGAACTTTTTAAAATGTCTTCATTTAATCTCTTTCCCTAAAGTCTCTCTCCCTAGTGGCTCCCATAGTTACTACCAAATCTCTCCCTTCTCTTTCTCTAATATATCTTTCCTCTTCTTTGAGCCTTCCTCTTTCATTCTCTTTGAGTACCACCATCTGCCCTCTTCCCATTTCAGAGGAGTTCTTAGGTGGGCTCTTGCTTCTCCAGGTTCCCT